TTAGTAGTTGTGGAAGGGTTTTCTCCTCCTCTTGTTTTATTTTCACGTTTGGGATGAATTGTCTTGGGGCTTTTGTTGTTTGGGGGGGGGAGTTTCTGTATATAAGTTGGCTAGCATCTTCCAAATCCACTTCTAAAATGTGCATTATACATGTTATAATTTAATTATGAATGTATATACATTTTTTTCCATGTCTCCATAGAACCACAAATGAAATCTTGTTGAATTGACAATTATAACTTGTGTAGTTGGAAAAAAACACGAACATCCAACCAAACAAATTTTGGAGGAGTCATAAAAAGAGGGAAGGTGTTTGCCTGCATTGTAAAATCACGTTAATTTCATAGGTCTAAAAGTACTCTACATAGCACTTACACTGCAGCTGCATTCATAGATCTGCTTGTTCTCATTGCTGCTGCTCATCTTAGTCTGAAACATGTTTTACATCTTCCATTTCAGACGTAAAAGGCTACTCGTACTTGGGTAGCCATCTGCCTTGGAGTACAGTTCTCTTAACTGTATTGATAGTCTCCTTGTAGAACTGTCAGAGAACATCTACCCTCAGAGATCATCTCCTGTTCTCGGGCAAGATAGTGGTTTGTTTAACTTTTTTTGGTTTGGTTTTTTTTACTTAAGCTACACAGTCTCCTCCAGACATAGATAAATGCTTTCAGCAACTTAAGGAAATAGTTACAAAATGCCCTTGGCATCCACTTGGTGAGAGCTAAGAGGTTCAAGAAACTTTCAGATACGCCATTCTATAAGAGTTGTGGAAGGCATGGGCATACCTGGAGCTGCACACGCTAGCCAAGAAAGTTCTCTCAGGTGCATGAGTACATCCTGAAGTACATGTGTGGTCACTGTGTTTCAAAAAGTTCTCAGTTACTCTATTCTGTTGTTGTGAAGGTGGGCATTGAATACTTTCTGCCAGGTTCTGTAACTTGGCACACTGTGATTTGACATGTCTAAATTTTTGCTTGCAAAATATATAAAACTGTCTTCTGCGCAAAATTTTTAATGCCAGCTACTATGCATATGAATCTAGGTCTTAAATGTCTGAGCTTAAAGGGTAAAAGTCTCTTGAAATTAAGATATAGCAGAAAATAATTTTGACTAACCTCAGAATTGCATTATAAAAACCCCCAAACATTTCATAACTTGCATTTCTGATTAGAGAAGAATCTCATAATGGGGTGAAAAATGATGTTTTCTTTTCTGCAGGTTCAAATGGACCACAGTTGTTTACAGTTGAACAGTGGGGCACCCCTGAAAAACTGCCAAGAGCTCATACCTGGTCAGTATTTAATTTAGGTAAATTACGACCTTTTGTAAGAGTGATGAAATACTTAAAAGTTTTCATCTGTTTTTCAGCTTTAACCGCTTGGATTTGCCTCCATATGACTCATTTGAAGATTTACGGGATAAACTTCTTCTAGCGATTGAAAATACTCAGGGTTTTGATGGGGTTGATTAAGACACAGACATAAATTGTATCGGTCCAGTGCTGCAATTTAATTTTAAGGGTTTACAGACAAATTTGAGTTCTCCAGGGACTACCATTGTATTTAGTCACATGGCTATTGAATCTTCATAGTATTACTTGTAAGTATGCAAAATTCACTAACTTCTGAAAATGTATTTTGCCGTTTCCACAGTTTTGTGTACCTTGCTAATAACTACAATATACACATTGGACAGGCCAGTGCCAAGTAAATCAACACCTAAAATGTTCTTAAGCAGTTGCCTCTTCTACAGTATTTAACAGACTCTCCGGCAGTAAACTACTGACGTAAAACTGTGAAGAAGTCTTTGCAGAGGGTGTAAATTTGAACTGCTGCTTTAAGAGGAACAACTGAAATTGTTAAACTGTTTTAAAAACCAAACCAACAAAAAACCAAAACCAACAAACTTCATGTAATGCAATATCATAATCTGTGCTGCTTCAAGCTGTTTGCTACCCATCTGTCCAAAGCCTATTAGTAAAAGGAAAGCATTTGTTTGCATTATCAGCTGTCAGTTTGCAGAGCATTGACTTGCTGACGCATTGTATTTGTTAGAGTTCTGTTTCTAACTTGCTTTTGTTAAAACAGTGTAACAAAACCAGGATTTTTATATGAAACAGACAAGCAGCATAATTGTGTTGTAATGAGTGATCATATACTTTATTTGAATTTGTATACTGTCATTGGTTTATTGAGTGTTCATCACTTTTGATAAATTTGTAGTTCAATGATGGATAATATTTTCAATTCAGCCTTTTGCAACAAAGTAATCTTAAAGTGAAATTTGTATGGATATCACTCAGTATTAGTTAGTGATAGAGGCCTTTATTATCCATTCTTGCAGTATTGCACTACATAACAATAAAGAACATGTTTACAGGGGTTTCTGGGCCAAATTCAGCAGTCTGATGTGTGCGCGCTTCTCTGAACTGCATGGAGGTTATGCACATGTGATCAGGTGCAGAATTTGGTTCTGTAATATGTTTACAGGTTGTGCTAGTTTCTACAGCTGCATTTTTGTATTTTTTTTTCCTCCACTGTTAGTCTAGAAACCAAATTGGTAATACCGTATAACCAAAGTCATAACCAACAATGTGCAATTGATTGTAGATCAACTTGTCATATAAATACTAGGTTGATTTCTTTTGTAAATGTGGATGTTTTTTGTATTAACACTTTTTTTGAGCAAGTGCTGGGTAAAATGATTAGCAAAATTGGTTCTAAAGGAAAAAACAGGTTTATATATCTGGCTTGCTCTGATTTTAACATTTTATTACCAATACGATCTGTAGAAATGACAGTACCTAGCTTTGGCCAGGAAATTTGTTTAGTCTTTATAAATATGCAAGAAGGAAGTGTAGCACATCTCTCTATACAGACATGTAAATTATGTAACAAATGTAATGGGTCTTAAGGGATATTTGAAATCCCACTTTGTTTTATTCTTTGTCTAGGTCTTATGGGCTGAGAATATGACATGTAAATAAAGGTAACTTATACAAATTTCCCAAATCTATATCCGGTTTTGTAAAACGTGAATATCAGTAAATCTGTATAGATTTGAATGTAGCAGGTTTTGTTGCTTAAAGTATGGAAAAGGATCCTGAGAGCAGTAAATAAAAGTTTATTCTAATAAGTTGTGATTCAGTTCTTTGAAGTGCAAATCGGTAGTCTTGAAATGGCAAGACTTGTTTAGTACTCCTAAGTAGACCTGGGCAGCAGTTCCAGCTGCTACTTCTCTATAGGTGTTGAAGTGCAACAGCACTGTGCCTAGTCTTCCACTCCGAGACATGCAGTCTGTGAAAAATTAATGCTGTTTTTTTGTAAGAGCTCTAGGTTGCAGTGAACCTTCATTGTATGGCCAGCCTAGAAATACTACATGGCAGAGAGGAAAAGGTGGAGGTCCCACAGAAATACCAGATTCCCAAGAGAGGTGAAGCTGGAAGCTTGAGACTTATGGCATGAGAAGAAAGGCGGCTTCTCCACCCTTTGGTATGAATTTACAAAGCTGCTATGGTGCTGTAATAGATGAAGAAAGGAACAAGTTTCATTAGGGAAGGGTTCAGCACCAGATGGGCCTGAACCAGGAGTTCACACCAAGAAGTGGTGGGTGCCAGAGTGCAGATGCTCCCCTCTGTGGGCTTTAAACTAAGTTTGTTGAGGAATGGTGGTAACAGCTGGTGGTTAAGTTAGAGAAGAGGCGTCAATTATGCTAAGTACTGAGGCAGGGTGAGGGGAGGGAGGCAGCCCTAATGGAGGACGCTGCAGCCTCAAAGGGACCCACCTCTTGTGCCTGCTCATGCTCAGAGGCAGCCAGGGAAAGACCAGGAGGAGCAAGGGACATGGCTGGAGCCACTCGGCTGCAGGGAGATCTGTGGAAGGGGTGACAGCCTGGTACAGAGCTTTGTGTGTCTGGGTCAGGCAGGACTTGTCCTAGGCCACCTGTTTGTCATGAGGGGGTGGCAGAGTGGGCTTTGAAGCACCTCAAGAAAGTCCAACATTGCAAACCCTTGCTCTTGCATGAGAGTAAACTCCCTGAGGTCTGTGGGAAGGTCAACACAAGGAGATACAATCTGCAAGCCTTCTGGAGGGGGTTGTGAACAGCTAAACAGGGGTGCTGGTTTGGCCAGCAGAGAGGTGCTCCATGTCTTTTTGAACTTGTGTTTTCTGCACATCATACCTCTGTATTCTCTGAAGCATATTCACTTAGACTGGGGGGGGGGGGCATATCCGGTTAAAACGTTTAGATCTATGAAGAAACTGTCTTTTAAAGGGAGACTCGAGCACAATGCGCGTTCTGGAGCAGGGCACCCCGGGCACCTTCAGCTGCTCGAGGCGGTGCCAGGACAGGCCGCCAGGTGGCGCCGCCGCCCGCGCCGGGCCGTGCGCGCGGTCCGTTAACGGCTGCAGCCTGCTGACAGAAACTGGGCTTGGGCCGGAGCCGCCGGCAGGCCACGGCGGGGCGGGAGCGGGGGAGTGCGGCTGAGCACACGGTAAACTTGGTATGAGCTGGGCTCCATCAGCTGAGAGTGGTGTAAAACCTCCGCAGAACTTCAGAACGGGGGCTTGGCTTTCATGTTCTGTGTTTCATACGGACTGGTGGGGACTTCATTTGTGTTATGGCCGTTAGTGTGTGAGTGGTGTTTCTGTCTACACTGCTGTCAAAGAAGTGAGTCTGTTTAGCCTTATAAAGTATATGGAGTAATTTCAGTAAAGGCTTTCAGTTTAAATATAGTTCAGAGGTCTCCTTAGACTGCTGTGGGTGAGGTTTTCTTAGATTTTCAATCAATGTCAGTAATTCGGTTTGTATTGGCTTAAGGGGTTTTGGTCTGAAATTGCCTTTCTCTAAAATTTCTCCTTCACTCCAAAGGTTACCATGGATGAGGAAGCACTGTGCAGTCTGGTGTCACAGAAATGAGAGTATAGATAGGAACAAGCAGCATTCATCAGTACCGTGGAGGTCTGAGGCAGTGGATTTTACTCTCACCACTGACAGATTCTCAGGTTGGGTGTTATTGGTGTCAAATCTGCCACTTCTCAAGGGGATACAGGTGATGCTTCATTGTTCTCATTGCACCGTGAGGCAGAGCTGTGGGTTAGTAGGAAAGCAAAACAATAATTTCTTGTAAGTGCCACTGGAGCTTCACTCATGCTGCTCACAGGATACATGACTTAAGTTATTTTTAATTACTATTAATCAAGTCACATCTGTAGTATGTTAAACAAATTATTTTTTACTAGAAGCAGGGCTGTCTACTGCCATCAAACCTAGGGAAAATATGTATATGTGAGTGTAAGCTACTAATTTTCTTTCTCTATCCTACTTTTTCCTTTCTAATCTCATTGTTTCATACAGAAACTTACTTTGCAAGCTACCTAGTGCTTTGCCATTTGATTTGTTCTCTAAATCCACAGCACAGTCTGTTGTGGGACTTGTGTTCTTCACACAGGATCATAGCAAATCATATTCTGCTTTTTTTCAGGCAGTTTATTTTAGTATCTACCCTTTTTAATGAACAATTTTTTTAAGGAATCAGTATGCAGTTCTTATGATGTGAACAGAGAGGAGCTTGCTTATTTATCTACAGGTAGGCCACCACCACCAGTAAGAATTCCTGTCTCTGGTGCCATAGAAATACCTCATGGAAATGTCTGTATGTTAAAAAGGCAACTGGCACATAGCATCTTCTATTGTTATAAATGGGAACTAAGCATTTAACAGCTGTTGTATTGCTCTGCAGCATTATGAAATGAGTAGAAGATGCAAGCACAAGCCTTGGTACTCCTATACTAAATCATTTTTCTTTGAAGTGGAGACTTAGTTGCTTTTTCTATGTGGAACATATATCGTTAGCATGCTAATCAGAATACAAGCAGCTTGCAAAGGGGATAATGAGGGAGAACTTCCATGTAATGCTTGGTTTACATCCACGTGACTCTGTAGAAAAATGTTTTGTTTTGCTGAGCTGTCTGTAATTTCATATTTTTTGCTTAATGAAACTTCAAACAAATTCTGCATTGTAGGTTTCAGGTTTTCATCCCAGAGAGAGGCTTGGGATTCTGGGGAGGGCAGGGAGGCAAAGCAGCTTGGAAAACCTGAACAGACATTAAGTAAGCATGCCTCTTGAAGAAAGACAGATAACTCAACCTTCCTAAATGTGACAGAAGTAAAACTTCCTGTTTAAATACACCATAGCCTAAAAGCATACGTCACAATTTGTTTTTCTTAAGCCTTTTTGAGTTTAATTTAATAGAAAATGTTTTCATAATTGTCTGATAGCTTTTCTGATATTTTATACAAGCTGAAATATTTCTCATGCAGGTTTTGTTTTGAGGACTGGGAAGTATGACCTTTTGGAGGCTGGGAACACACGTTCTACTATGCACTGCTGCTTGAGAGTATGCAAAATGCTAAAGGTTTAAATCAAATTGCCCCGAGGACTGCTTACTGACCTTTTGAATGCAAAGCTGTCAAAACCTTCAGCTAGACATCAGCTAGAGAAGAACACTTAAGGCAGATCAATGCAAACAGAAAACAATGTGGTTCTGACTTTTGTTAATTCCTAGTTAGTAACAAACGTTACTGTGCTGCAAGAGCTGTTGGAAACAAACACATACTGCTGAGGAGTTGCTGTGAGTAACATGTAATAGCTGTTTTTTGAAGAAAACCTTTTATAATCTCTTAAGAAATGAAAAGTTTTCATTAATTGCTAAATCCTGATAGAGTTATCTGAGCAAGATGCTTCATTGACTTCAAAGGGATTTTTGTCTACTTAAGGAATGCAGGGTCAGGCCCTTAACTAGTGATAACTTTCTTCAGTGGGTTGTCAGATATGACAAACTGTGCCATTTTAATAGAAGTTACCCTGGCCTTGCCATGCTATCCCTTTATCCTGCAAATCTGCTTTCTTCCTTTGCCCAGAGCTTCTGGGTGGCTGTTACATAAAATTTAGAAATTACTCTCTGTAAGCTGTGGCTTCTGTGATTATATTTTCTTCACTTTGAATATACATTATATTCTAGTTACAATACATTATATAATAAATTCAGTTGATGAAAGTATTGGATGTAGTTATAAGTTTGTCCCCCCTCCTTCTGTGAATTGCTGCCCAGCTGTTGTCCATCCTTAACAGACTTACTTGTAATTAGTTTCACTATTACTTGCTGTAATGCAGAGTTTAAAAAAAATGCCTTCCTTTCTATATAAGCTTACAGAAATGGACCAAAAACCAGGGGATTGGGAGGATTTGTTCAGTCTCAGTCCAATAATTAGAAGTGTGCAATAAGTATTAAGCAATCATGTATATCCTGTGGTGAAGACTCAAAGGAATAATTACTTTGCAGGTTAGTAAAAAATAATTCTCTGTGCTTTATCGGAGTGTTATAACTGCTCTCTCTTAGTGTAATTAAAAGGTAGTTCTTAATGCTTAAGATGTGCTGCTGCATCCAAGGCAAAAATAATATAGTTGAGCTCTATTAACATGTAGCTAAAAATTATGCAATTCTGCCACTAACTTATCGTAAAACTCCACCCCTGCTGCACACTTTTTCCCATAGTACTTAAGATGAACATTCTGGCATGCACATGGTATGTGTTGCCTAAGTGTCTTATTTGCCCAGTGCAAGTTCTGTCGTCTGCCAGAACTTGGCCACTGTGACCTTCTAGAGGTATCTGAACATAAACGACAGCAAAATGTTATTTAGTATTTAGCAAACATAATGTTGGGGTAATGATTAGGTACTGGACAGCAGCACAGCTGAAACCAAGTTACACTACCAGCAACCTTAACTGGTGGTTGCTCTCCTAATGCACTATGCAGGCACATCTGTGTATGCCACATACTAAACCACACCAGGGACTTGATTCCAGTGAAAAAAACACTTTTATTTCTCTTGCCAAGTTATTTGCATCCACATCAGTTCTCTGATCTGATTCCTCGCTTGGTTACACAAGCTCTTATGCCAACCCAAAGTCAGCACCACAAGTTGCAAACATTGAGTTGCATCAAACAAACGGAGGATGCCTGTGGATGTGCTTCCAGCAGAGCCTCTGATCTCCTCTTGCCCTGCTGCGCCTGGTCAGGGGCCAGAGAGAAACTTGAGCCAGGTTAGTAACAGTGCGGGGGAAAGAGGAATTGGGGTGGGCTGCTCTGTCCTCTAAGCCATGCAGGGCACTGTGATCCAGCTACGTCTCCTGCCTTCAGCTCCTGTCCAGCTGGGCAGACAGCTCTTGCAGAAGCTCTTAAAATATGAGAAATACCCATGGGCTCCCAAGCAACTCCCACAGCCCAGCTGAGATAAGACCCCAGCCACTGCAGCTGATGGAGGCAGTAATTTTGGCATCAAAAGAAATCACCCTTGTGCTGCCCAGCTTTTGGCTCCCCTTAATTCACCCCCCCTTGCCTTGCTTCTAGCACCGGGGTGTTGCCTTTAGCGGTTCAGCCTGAATTCTTGGTGAAGCTGTTCTGGTGGAAGTCACAGCTTTGCGTGGCCCTTCAAACATCTCGGTACCCATCCCCAAAGCAGTGCTCTTCGCAGGGGCCTTTGCAGGACACGGCTGTGTGCATGTGAGGGGGAGGAGGTGCTGGGAACATGCCTTGAAGGCTTCAAATCTGTTTATCTTCACACTCCTGAGAGGCAATCGCTCTCGCATGACAGGGTAGCCCACTGGAGGGAACTGCACTGGCAGTGAGGAGATAAACCTATGGAGCACAGGCTGCTTTGGCCAAGTGGCCTCTCCCTGACCAGCAATTCCTTATGTCTCTGTGAGATGAAATGAGACAAGAGCAGCAGGAAGCCTCTTTCAATCTTTCTTTTTAATAGTTCCTTGGGATAAATTGTAGATAAGAGGAGACCACATTGTTAACAAGCTGAGAATGCAAAGACAAAGGAAAAGGCTGCAATCTTTCACAGCAGAAGTTAATAGGTATATTCAGCAGTATGTCCAACTGCTGATTTGCCTTGTTTTTAGTTTATTTTATTTCCAGTAATTGTTTCCTGATTGCAAACATATAGAGGAAATGCGGCAGAAATGATTTGCCTATTTCCTCTTATAACAGCAGAATGAAGGTAAATTACACAGGGATGAAAGGACACCATATTTCATGCCTGTTGCTAAACAAATAGCTGCAGAACAGTGGGTTGTCATGATAAGCAAGAAAAGCACTAACAAAAAGCTGCCTCTGGAAGGTTCGAGTGATTCCTTTGTAGATTCAAACGTAGGAAGTGGTATCCTAGGAGATATCTTCTTTCTCTTCACTTATTCTTGATCTGATACTTATTGTATCGACCCAGTGTATTAACACTTTGATTTATGGAAGATAACATCAGGGTACCTTACTGCAGCATTTCCAGGATTGTGTTTTGTTCTCTTACTGGAGAAAGGGTTGAGTGAGGGGACTGTACCGAACAAATTAAAAAATATATACATTGCAAATGCAGCTTATGGGGCAGCTCTTCTCCACCTGCTGTCCATTCCTGCTCCTTGCTGCGATTTCCACATATGCATAAACCCTTAATGAAGTTATTCCATGTGTTTCAGTGTGCAGATTCCAGCTGCAGCTGCCTGTCTGTTGTCTCTTTGGTCCCAAGCCAGCTGAGCACCATGGGCTTATCTCTCCGGATTGCTGAGCATCCCTGAGGTCAGAGAAACAAAATAGTGTGCAGCACCTTGTGTGAGAGCCCAAGGTGGCATGGCAGAGGCATGCAGGCTGCCCTGCCCTGGGAAACATTCATAGTGGTTTAGCCGATCTGAGTCAGGGCAGCTGCTGTCCCGTGCTGTTGCCATACATTCAGCTGCATGTTGCAATCCATGGTCTTTCACCCTTCATTGTGCACTAAGAGCCAGGTTAAGGAGGTAAACCATGAGAAATCAAGCTCTACTGAAAAAAAAAGAAAAAGGAAGTTTTCTGGCAGGTTATGTGTCCAGAGGAACTCAGTGCAGGCAGAGGAGCATCAGCTGTGGCATGAGGGCCAGAGAGCATGGAGCTGCAGTAAACCCAAAGTCCATACCATAAGAACTCTATGCTGTGTGTAAGAGGAAGACTACACACACAGGCATGAGGTATGTCCTCAGGAGTGTACGTTCTGTAGCCATAGCTGTGTGGTTTGTTAAATGTACCAAGAAGACCCGATTGCTTGCATCAAGTATTTTTAACACCTTCCAGCAGCAGTAAATGGACATGGGAGAGCAAGGAAACATGCTTTGCCAAATCCCTGTGAGATTACTCCTCCAAACTGCTTGCAGTTACCTCCAGCAGCAGGGGAGGATGTTGGAGTGTCTTCTTTCTCCTGGTGAAATTCATGGCAGGGTCCCTTTTCATTCTAGTGTGATGAGACTGCAGCAGTAGGGGTAAATGTCTGGAGGCTGCCCCTGGGGCATTGTGAAACAACCTGGCTGAGGCATATCCACTGATTTGGGTCAGTGGACCACTGTTGTAGAAGGTGGCTGGGAAAAAAAACACAACAAAAGTTTGGCAAATAATTGTAATTTTTCCACTTTGGTGTTTGCTGCTTTATAACCAAATGAGATCTGTGTTAAAATCCCTTTGTTAAAATCCCTGTGTTAAAAACCCTTGGAGGTGTGCTTTTCCTGTACAGGAAGGCTCCCTGGAGAGAAAGTTCATTAGCATCCAAAGGGCTCAGCCTAAGGTGTGTATGCCCATCTGCTCATGGAAGGAGTGAATCTCCTTTGAGAATGCAACAAAGATGGTAACTGTACACAGGTTCAAAATGAAGCAAGAATCCACTAAGTGACCAAATGTGCTGAAAGTAAACATTTGTATGATGGATCTTAATAGAGTTAGCTTAACATGTTGTAAATCTGTGAATACAGTTGTAACTGGGTCAGGAGTGTGTCTCGAGAAACAAGAAAGTGTCTAAACATGCCTACAGTAACACCAGATCAAAACCACTCAGAGCAAGAACTGTAAAGAAAAAAGGGGCTTCCATAAGAAGAAGGGTTAATGACACCCTGCCAGGAATGCAGTTGTGGCAGGCCTTTAGCTGGGTTTTAAGGACTCCCCCGGCTGAAGGCAGAGCTGAGCCAGTGCAAATTGCTGTATTTCCCCTGCAGTTAATAGGGCTCTGGCAATTACAACTGCTCTCAGCCCACCCTAAAAAGTGACCGCAGCTCCAAAGCTCCAATGCTGCCACAGCCATGCTAAACTGACGGGTGACTGTACTCTCTTCTATGCCTTGGGCGCCTGTAACTACAGCTTGCTTCATGCCAGCAGTGACCTGCCAGCAGACCTGGTGGATGAGCTGGGACCTGGCACTGGTAGGGTTGAGCATGGGGGGCTGGAAGCAGTGGGGGGGTCCAGGATGATGATTATATGTTGGTTTGAAAATAGATTTGGACTCCAGGACTCTACTATGGCCTCTTAAAGGGTGCAGCTAATTGAGGATACTGTTGTGACTGGACATGTGCCAGTGGGCACACAAACTGCTGTAAGCAGCTCTCTCTCCACCTCTCCTGTTTCCCACCTGTGGGTGCTTACACTTACCCTTTTCTGTCCCATGATGTTACAGTGTTAGAGCAGGAGCTGCGCAAAGCCACACTCGGGGAATGGATCATCTGGGCAAAGACACTTTCCAATCTCTAAGCTTTCCAGGTCAGGTGGGACACAGCATATGCAGGCACCCAGCTTAGGCAGGTTGTGGCCATGCCAAACACCATTAGTGCTGCTGTGACAGCTTTTCCCAGACCACAGGCATGAGAGTGCTAACATGATACTATTCTTTTTCTCAGGTAGAGCTGAAATGCTTAGTGCAAAACTGACCAGGGATCAAACTGAACTATTTCTGATTTAAGCTGAAAGAAATTTAAATGGTCCAACACTAGAAAAACCTGATTCTAACCTGGAAAGAAAAGTCATTCCCCATCCTGGGCTTGTGGCTGCAGAGATCTCATAAACAGAGTTCACCTTGGAAGCTCCAATCAGCTTCTTTCCTTTTCCTGAGGCTGCTATATTCCATCCCAAAGTCCTGCATATTAGTTCCCTTTCTAGAAATGTTGGTACACTTCAGAAAAAGTGTATAAACACCATGGTCATGAAACTTAATTCATGTTTGGAGAATCCCTCTCTCTCCCTACTGGTTCATAATGGGGCCAAAATTCTGGATTGTATGGCCCCAGCCCAGTTTAGCAGCCCTGGATGGGTTGACAGCTGCCCAGCACACATGCAGAAGAGCAGTGGAGCAAAGCCTTGAGCTAGATCTGTTCATGTCAGTCTGATTTTCAAATCTTTCTTTTCAGGGCTTGCCAGATCTGAGGCTGGAATGTAGCATAAGGTAAGTCAGGTTATTTACAGACAGCAACCTGGACAGCATGCTGATATTCCAGCTGTTGGTAGCACTTCAGAAAGAGGTCTTACCACTGACTTGTGTTTTAAGACACTGAGGAGCTTACTGCTCAAGTCATTATTTCTTTGAAAGGTATGTGCAGCTTGTTTGCAGACCCCCAAACCTAAGGGAAAGCATAGGAAAGGATTTACATGGATCCGAAAAGAACCACAAAACCAGCGGAAGTTTGCACAGCCAAAAATACAGATCAGGTCAAGCAAAAAAGTCTGTGTTGGTGACAGAAGAGAAATTGCTGCCCTGCAGCAAAGTAGGCATAGTTTTGTTTATGTTGGCTGGCAGTACTTTGTACTCATCCTGGACTGCCATTCTGGCTTTCTCAAGATAATGCTGCTGTGAGAGGGCCAGCCAAGTGATAACTGTGTTTATTGGCTCCATATTTACTAACATGGTGTGTTTGACAAAGTTATGGCTGGCAGTGCCTTTAAACTGCGGTTCAATGGGTTTATCAGTTTGCAGTGAAGTATGAATTTAGATATGTTATCTCAAGACTGCACTATATCTAATCCAGTTAATTACTGGAAAATGTGTTAAAATGACTTCTGACAAATTAAAGAGAGCTTATGCTCATCTAGAGGATGACTGACTTAATTCTGATATGAAATTTATTATTTGTTTTGTACAGCAGATACGTGAAAATGGAAATACTGGTGTTTGCAGCTGCCTCAACACAGGCACACGAAGTGCTCCAGTGGGGAAGCACTTTTCTTTGTCAAGCCATTTAAGACAAATACTGCATTTGATCTCATGAGTCAAACCTTCCTGCTGGTACAGTGTAGTCCAGGGAAACAGTAAAGCGGTTTCCCTGCCACAGGAGTGAGCACAGACAACACAACTAACAGAAACCAGCCCACAAGTAAGCCTACAAATGTTTTTTTCTCCATTGGCTTCTTTTGTCTCCTGATCCACTAGGACCAACTCCTGCTTCAAACAGGCCTGGTGAGATGGGCAAGCAGGTGTCCACTGCTGGGCAGGTACAGCACAGCCACCCACTCATGCCTGCAGGAAGCAGTGTGCTGCTGCACAAAGCATAGGTCTGCAGGAAAGTAACTTGTATCACGAGGGACAGTTTCAGCCTCTCCACCAACTGACCGAAGCACAAGCCATAGGAATGTTACTGGGTAATGCATTCCCTGTTCCTGTGTTTGTCTTCTAGTTGTGCTGAGGTCATCTAGCAAATCTCGAACTCAAGTCACTCTGATCAACCATATTTAGCAGGAGAGAGTCTAGTATCAACATGAGCTGCAATTGAAAGTTGTGAGTTTGCCACAAGAAAGAATTCATGTTTAATCATTAGTGCTCAAAAAGAATATAAATAAAATTGCTTGTGATACCTTTTTTCGTAATTCCTGTTACTGTATTTACTCCTCTTTGGACACCAAAGCCGTACATGTGCAGTTGTGCTTTGCAAAATGACTGTGAAACTACCTGGATGTCTTTTGGGTAACTGATCTGTATGCAGAACAAGTCTTTCCTAATTACCTTTCCTGAAAACTAGTGCTAAGATCAGAGCAAGCTGAATGCTTCTGCTTATGTATTTTTGACAAGTAAGAAAGGTGATATAGGTCAAACTATGGCTTGTGTCATGTTTAGATATCTCTGATGTTTTTATGCAGGCTTTCAGGAGTCACTGACTGAGGCTGCATCCAGTTCCAGTGATGATGCGGCAGAAGGGACCAAGTTTGGCTGCCGGCTCTTGGCTCTGTGAGCTTTGCACTGCTGGCAGGAACAAAAAACAGTGAAAACTTGCCTGTCACTGAAGTCAGCAGCTCTCACAATGAAAGCAAACAAGGGGCAAATTTGCTGAGTAAGAAGATGCCTTCCTACACGGTAACTTTAGAAACTAGAACTCCGAATAGACAAAAAAGGAGCTTAGAAATTGCTGGCTGCGAGTATGGAGTAAATTTACTGGTGGAGCTGAGAACTTCAGTGATAGTGGCAGCATTTGAATTTTCACTTCCAAATGGTCCATAGGGTGTTGATAGCATAATTCCCAAGCCATCTGTTTGCAGTTTAGGTTGCATTTCAGCAAGCTACATTTTGGACTTGAGGCAAATGTAAACTTATGGCTGTTTTCTGGTGGAGACAAGCAAAGGGTGGCTCATCCTCAGCAGCGGAGTACTGCCTCACACAGCCATCTAGAAGTGGTTTTATTGGTGCTGTATGAAGGGGTCAGTGAGAATGACTGACAAAATGGCACTCCTGATCAATTCCCATTACTCGCAGGGCCATGGGGTGCTCTGCCAAACCCAGCCATCACGGCACCTGCACTGGGCGCTGCAGGGTCTGCTGCCCAGGCCTCGGAAGGCCCGCCGGCTGCGTGCCGCGGGTGGGCAGCTCCGGTTTTGTCACAGACCTTCGGTATAGCCGGGTCTGGCTGCGCGCTGTTAACGCTCGCCCTAGCGCTGCGGTGTGTAGTGCCCTGCATCCTGGGGGGACGGCATAGACGGCAGCTCCTGCCCGGTCGGGGGGGGCTGGGCCGCCTGGCCGGCGCGGAGCTGTCCCGGTGGGGAGCTGCCGTTGGGCCCCAGCGCTGCCCGAGGCGCCGCGTCTGAGGGGCAGCGCCGGAGCTCATCCGTGCGGGGGTCGGGCCCGGCCGCGCTCGGCCCAGATGGCGCCGGAACCCCTCGCCCCTCGTGCTCGGGGCCGGTGGGTCCTGCCGCCCCCTTCCCCGGGGTATTGTCCGCCGCGGCCCGCCCCGTCCAGCGGCGTCCCTCCCTCCTCCGCCCCCCGCCCGGCCCTGCCCCTCGCCCCTCTTCTCCCCAAAGGCCAATGGAGACGAGATGCGGAGAGTAGGGCCGGGACGGGCGCGCCGGGGCCGCTCCGTCCATCCTCTGTCTCCTCCCCTCGGCCGCTGACCGGTCTCTCTCGCGGCGGCCGGCGGGGCATGCCAGCCGCCTCTCGCTGAATGGCGCCGTTCCGCCGCCGGGCGCTGCTGCGGGCGCTGCTGCTGCTCCCTCTACTCCCGCTGCCAGGTGAGTCCGTCCGCCCGGCCCGTGCCCCGAGGGCCCATTGTCCGCCCGCGCTCCGGTCCCGCTCCGCCGCACGTGGTTTTATTTATCGGGCACCGGCGGGACCGGCTGCGGCGGGAACCGGCTCCGGCTCCGGCTCCACGCTTTGTTCGCGGCGGGGCGCGGCGCGGAGGGGCTCTGTGGCACCCCGCCGGCAGGGGGCGCGCGCGGCGGGTAACCCCTCGCTGCCGTGTTAGGCGATGGGCGACCGTTAATTAGCCACGCGCTCGCTGGGGGCGGTTGAGGGAGCTCTGAGGGGCTGCGCGGTTTCTTGGCGGCCGCTGCCTCCCGCTCCCCGCTCCGGGGGCTCCGCCAGCGGTTTGCAGTGACACCGGCCTCTTGCGCCTCGCACCGCTCCTCGGGCGGGCTCCTCAAGTCACCGAGCGGGAGCAGCCGCAGCTGTGTTGAGGGCCCGCGCGGGCGCCGGTGCGCGCTCACCTGACGCGCTGCGCGCCCCGCGCTCAGCCCCGGTCGCGGTGGCTTTACGCTGCCTGAACTCAGTACCGCAGGTTGCGCAAAGTTCTCTGCGTTTGCAGCCTGTAGCAGCGGGAGTTGTACCTTGAGCGGTGGGCTCAACAGGGTGACCCGCAGCTCACAAGTGCGCTCCGTAACGTGCACCCCTGTGCTTACAGGCGAAATCTGTTTTTCTCTCTCTTAGGAGCATGGTGCTTTAGCGAACTCTTTTTTGTGAAAGAGCCTCAGGACATTACAGTCTCAAGGAAGGATCCGGTGGTTTTAGACTGCCAGGCCCGTGGTGAAGCTCCTATCACTATTACATGGCTGAAAAATGGAGGCAAAGTATCTGAAAATGAACGGATCTACACTTTATCCAATGGCTCCTTATATATCAGTGAGGTGGAAGGAAAGAAAGGAGAGCTGTCTGATGAAGGATTTTACCAGTGCTTAGCTCTGAACAAATATGGGGCCATTCTCAGTCAAAAAAGTCACCTCACACTAGCAAGTAAGTTCCAGCTCTTATTTATTAACCTGCTTCTGAATTTGTGACAGCAATTTCCTGAAGAGTACACAGCAACCTATCCTTTTGATTGTGCATCCAAAAAGACAGGAAGCAAAGATCGAGTCAATTCTGCAGTACCTTTGTTTCTTCTTACATATTTAAAGATCATAAATGACACTTGTGATGGCCCTGCTGTGGCGGGAGCAGCACAGCCACCTCTGAGGCCTCTTGGGCAGTGGTGCTTCGTGTGGGTGGCTCATGTAGGTCACTGGTCTCCAGAGCAGGGGTTGGTGCAGAGCTGTGCAGGCTACAGTGGGCTGCAGCACTCCTGGATCTTGTTTCCCATGTGCTGTTCAGGCAGCCTTACAAGGGTCAATTACACATCTGATTAAAAAATAATAAAATTACTCCTTGTTCAATATGTTGGTGTTGTGCCATCTTGGGGCAGGGCAGAACGACTGATGGAGCTGGCTGTCTTGGGGAAGGGAAAGGTTTTCTGAGCAACCATGAGGGTTATATTACCAAGCTCTTGCTTTTCTGACACACGTGCATTCAGCCAAACAGATGCGGGTGCTGTCCCTTCTGGGACTCCTCTGGAACTTACCCAGAGGGCCTGTTACGTGGCCCTAAGGGCTAGGAAGTGAGAGTCACATTTCTAGGGTGACTCCCTGCTACTAGGTGAATGGTGAAGGAAATAATTGTGTGTGCTTTTATGGTTTTAACTGTGTGTGTTGCCCTCTTGTTTTCCTAGCATCTTTAAATGCATTGAGCAACATATGTGCATTGGGAACTGAATGCCATGCCTTTCTCTGTGCCAGTGCAAAGCATTGCCAGTAGGCTGCTTCTACAATGCTATGGGTTTTTTTCTTTTTTCTTCTCAAAGAAAGTGTAACAGAGAGAGTACAAAGTTGATGTAGTCTTCTTATGTTCCTCTATAATAGGACTTAACTGATGAAGTTAATCTAATAGGAAAAGGCTTCCTCTGACCTCTTCAACCCCGTTCTTATAGCAAGTTGCACAAAACTGACATTGATGTCTCTCTGGAAACTTGGCATTTGTTGTAAATCGCAAGTTTTACCAAAATCAACCTGAAACTCGTTCATACAATTGGTACATCAGCTTACATGAAAAAATGCTAGAATGTTAACATTTGTTAGTTTTTCCTGTGTGCTTCTGAATTTACTATAGAAACTATCCATAGGGTACCCCAGGAAGGTGTGAAGTGAGTCAGAGCATGGGGCAGTTGAAAATGACCCTGGATTCAGGTGGCTGCTAGTAAGTGATGGGTTTTTCATGTGCTGTAAGAAGCTGTTCTGTGAACTCTTGATTTCAAAAACCTGGCTACTTATAACTAAGTATCATGGCATCTCACATACAGGATAAATAGACCAAGCACCTCCTGCATACTTCTGCTGAAATGAAAAATGAAGTAGTAGTATTGTTGACTTTTAAATTCACCTCACTAGGTTTCTGAGTGTCAGCGCCATTAATAAACAGACTGAAGAAAACCTTTCTTGAAAGGATAGGAGTTCTTAATAAATACAAAGAAAGTCCCTGGCTGATGGGTTCTGTGTGTAGGACTGGGGAAAATTCAAGACCACTTTAAATCTGAGATACTGCAGGGTGAGCTCTGTTCTCAGTATCAGAGACCACCTGGAATAGGATAGCACTGTAGTAGTACAACGTAGTACTAGGTTGTAGTATTAAATGTTATTCAGACAGTACTGAACTTTTATAAGTGTTTCTCAGATGCACATTATTTCACCAGAAATATGGTTTAATTTTATTTTGCTTTTTGATAAAGGTTTTCACCCAGGAAGAGTTGTGAACCACAAGATTTCATGCTGTGGAGTGAGACTCTTGTTTTGCAGCCCTTCCTTCCTTACCCCCCTTCCCTCATCCCTTTTTTTTTCTTCATTTTTCTCCCCCCCTCTCCTGTAAGACACTGACAAAAGGCTTCTTTTTCTTCTTTGAATACTTGAAAGGTTTCCTATGGCTGTTGGAGAAAACTGCAAGGGATAGTGGATCCATAATGATCACAGTAGGTGTTGTTGACTTAGCGATTAAGTGGTTAACTAGGGGCCAAACATGAAGTTATCTTATGTAGCAGTCTCTTCTTTTTAGTCATGTTACAATCTGACAGGTTTCAGAATGTAATCTTTACTGTAAAGCTGTGAAATGAGGCAGTCATTTGTATCGTCGTATTTTGAAGCCCATAAAATGTGCAAAATTTGTTTTATACCAAATTTTTACAGTGTTTGTGCCTAGTATCATGTGCTGATTGAACTTGGCAGACCTTTTAAGTTAAATATATTAAAATCTTGTGGGGGATTTTGTAGGCTTATAATTTTGCTTAGAAGCAGTTGTTGGTTGCTGTGAAGGCAAATTACCTCGTGGTCAGGGTAGAGAAGGAACTATACATATTAAACAGGTGGAGAATAGGCATTAAATGGGCATTCTTTCTTTGGAGGAGAAAAAGCAAATGCTCTCTTCAGTTACTGGTAGCAGCAGGGTGCTAGGATGTTCTTTTACTTTGCCTGTTAAGAGCTTTTGCCAGTAAGCTTATCTCTTGCTTCAGAATTGTAATGTTTAGTGTTGCATTTGGAAATCAAAAACTTTAATCTGTCCAAGAGTTTAAGATTTGAACACACAAGGAGATCAGGTCTTGGTTTCTAAAGTTAGGAACTGGAAGCTGAAGGTTGCACTCTTGGCAAGAATTCCATTATTCATGTGCAAATTAAGAATTCACAGGGTTAAAAGGTTAGAAACTGGCCAGGATGAGGTTTACCCTTGTGATAAAGAGCAGATGACCCTCATTCATTGGCCAAAGCTTTCATGTAGCTCCTCTGCAAAGTTAGTGATTGCCATGAATTGTTCTTGAGGAATGCAGAAATTCAAATGTGAGCAGGCCTTTCCTTAAGTGTCACTATGGAGCCTTATCTCCTGAGCACATCAGAGTAGGTCTGCAGGGACAGGGTTCCTCCCCAGAGGCCCCAAGGCTTTGCTTTCCTGTTGTTCATCCATGCACAAAAGAATTTGACTAATTTAGGGCTTCTTTTCGGTGAGATCCCCCTACTCTTTTAGAAGAAGCTGTGGGGCTGAGGTACCTCTTAGGTAAAAATAAATATTAGTTTCACTACATGCTTGTAGTTGCTTACTAAGCAGGCTAATTGACCTGAGGGGGAGAGGAGGAGGTTCCTATGTGGCTCTTTGTGAGGCAACATGTTAGGGTAAAACGCTAATAGTGAAAAGTATGACTTACTCAAAATTCAATTTACTGCTGCCACTGCTACTGAGAGAGGTCTCTTTTAATGGAATATAAAAGGAATGTAGACTGTGGAGAAAGTCTTAACCACTTTTGGTACAACTTTGAATCAGCCAAAAATAAACAAGCTGTGATTTTTGTATCCCTGTATTTTTAACTTGCGACTAACCATGGTTAACTAAGATTCTGTCTGAAAATAAAGCCAGTCTTCCAATACGATAGCATTAGGAAAAAAATGGAGAAGGTGGCTCATGTTCTGAAGGCAGTAGCATGGGTTTTGGGCAGTGATTGAACAGGATGCTTGTTGTTTGTTTTCTTTTTACAAAAAGTGGAAATTGAAGTCTTAAGATGGTTGGATGGGATATGTACAGCTGGATAGGAGCATTCCCTTTCTCTCTTGTGACTTGGCTGAATTGATTTTAATGCTTGTGAATTACAGGAAATGTAAGCCCAATTCTTGGTGTACAGGTTTCTACATTTCACAAGAGTGAAAGGTTATGCAAGCAGAAAGTTTCTGGGAGCATGTTCCTGGAGAGAAAACGCATGTGCACACTGCACTGCAGTTTGTGAAGCACTGGGCCTTTTACACAGAGCAGGCTATACTTTATGGAGAGTTTGTAATTTTGCCTACCTGCTGTGGCAGTGATAAGACTTCTGGTCCCACCGCAGTGCCAATAATTGGCAGTATTTATGTTTTGCTATCTTAATAACACCTTTTGCTCTGCTTTTAAATATTTGCACTTAAGAGTGCATCCAGCTGAGAGCTATTCTGTACTGTGACAATAACGTTTTCTTAGCAGTTCCAGCTGTTTGTTCCTACTTTTGTATTGTGCTGTTTCTTGTGTGGGCACAGCTGCATGTGTGGCTAACTGAACAGGGAACCAATCTGGGTTAAAATAATAGAATTAAAACAAAAGATGGTGTTGAACCCAAATGAGTTCCCTGATGCAGTTTGTCATGGAGCCACTCCATGATAGCACTAGTGTAACTGAGAGGAATGATGTAGAGGTGGGAATGCTTAGTGAGGACAGAGGAAGGCTACTGAAACTTTGACTGCTGCAAAAACAAATGTTCATCAGACTGCAGCCTTTCTGGAATGTGTGTAGGCAAAAATTTTGCCATTCTGCTACTATTTTTTTTTTAATTGTGCCTTAAATAAAGAGATTAATAGCTGTAGTCTAGCAGGCTGTCTTAAGGTCCTTTCCAGCCCTAACCATTCTGTGATTGTATGATAATATAATTTTCATTTTGTATAGAATGTCATTTCAAGTGTCTTCCAAATGCATATAGATCTCAAAGGTATGTTTCATTGTTTTAAATAGTAATGGACAGAGGAACAAATTAAGAGATGAAAGGGTGTGCATAGGGGGCAGAAGTGTTTTTTGACTGAGGTGGAAGTGAAGTGGCAAATGGCAGCTGTAGATAATAGTCTTGTATTAAAAGAGATAACAAATTCTTAATGCTGTAGAGCTGGTGTGGTTGCAGGCAGTTTGAGGAAGCTCTTGTTTAGGTTGTTACAAGTCCTGCCTTACTGCTCTGGCTTTGATTAGTTGATTTGAATGGCCTGAGAGTAGAATCTTTCTAAGCTGAGAGTGCCCGTGGCTGATCCTTAGTGCATTTAAATTAGAGTATTTAAGGCAGGAGGAGGATGTTTAATGTCTCATTTGGCAATGTCAGTTGATAATGGTGAAGAAGAGTGGTAAGATTTTTACTCTTTAACAGATATACACTGAAGAAA